GGCAGAGGAGTTTTTGACGTAATGATGGAAACTTAAGACTTCCAACACTCACGCTTAGCTGTACGGATGGCCCTACGGGCCACCACACTCGCCTTCCAAAACCAAAGAAAATAATCAGCCGTCTGCCGGCAGCAGTGTCTCTTCCAGGCTGCACGCTTACACTGGACAGCCCGAGCACAGTCCACATTCCACCAGGGAACGCACTTCCATGATCCCCGAGAGGAAGAGCAAGGAATAGAGCAGAGGGCAGCGTCGAAGATGGTGTCATGAAAAAGGAGGAGGGTACGAGGGAGAGGCAGAACGAAGAGATCAGAGAGAGCAGCACGGAGGGTAAACAGGTTCCAATCTGCCTTAGCAAACTGCTACCTACGGAAGGAGAGGGGATGGTGAAAAGAGAAGAAGGTAACAAGGATAGGATAAGTAAGGTTTGGTCACTATATCCCTGCCAAAAAAAAAAAAAATGGTCACTGCCATGTAGGTCATCCAGAACTCGCCACGTGAAATCCAAATAAAGAGACGACGAGCAGAGAGAAAGATCAAGACAGGTAAGGGTGCAAGTCCGAGAGTTCAAATGAGTGAGCTCACCAGAATTCAGAAGAGAGGATGAACGGTTCGAGAAGGCGACCCCGGGTGTTTGTCAGAACATCACCCCAGAGGGTATGTCGACAATTAAAAATCGCCCAGTAGGAGCACAGACTCCGGCAAGGAGTCCAGTAGGTGTTTAAGATCGGGAAGAGAAAGAGGGACATTTGGGGGGAGGTAAATGGAACAAACCGTGCACCATTTACGCACAAAGACATGTGCGACAGAACATTGGAGAGGAAACGGAAAAAGTAGGGGGACGAAGGGAACATCAGAACGAATCAAGAGAGCAGAAGAGGAACGGGCCCCAGCAAAAGCCAGGGGGTGGGGGGGGGAGTAAGAAATAGCCACGGAAGCGACCAGGACAAGCACCAATCATCGGCTCCTGGAGACAGACACAAAGGGGCGAAAACAGCGAAATCAGAAGTTAGCGCTCATGGAAATTGGCATAATATCCGCGAATATTCTATTGAAGAATAGACATCGAAAGAAGAGAAAGGACAGCAACAGAGGACAATGAAGAAATAAAGGGGAAAAAGAAACACAGCACGTTAAAGAAGCACAGGATCAGGATCAGCGAAGTCAGGGTTAGGGGGCATGGGTAAAGTGAGTAAGGATGGAGGGAAGGGAGCGGGAGGACCGACCAGAGATGGACGAGCAGGGTTCAGAGAAGGAGGAGGGGGGACAACCGAGGGTCAGGGACAGCAGCAGGAGGGGCAGAAACCAGGGAATGCACCTCAGCAAGGGCAGCAACCGAGAGGGAAGCGGGGCCCAAAGAAACCTCCATAGCAGGAACAGGAGAAGCAACCACCGAAATGGGAGGGAATGGAGCGAGAGATTCAGAGATAGGGGGCGAGGAAGAAAGCAAAGCCTTCTTACTCGCTGGGGAGGAGAAAGGAGATGAGCCAGGTTTTCGCTTCTGACTCAAAGAGACAGGCATCCCAGCAACAATGTACTGGGCAACAGATTCAAGGGTCTCAACAGGAAAAGCAGAACGAGAGCAAACAACACGATGGCTGCTGGGAGAGTGATGGACATCAGCCTGCACTGACAGGAAGCGTGGAGAGCGAAGAGACGAAGGAGAAGGATGGGAAGGAGGATTGGAGAGAGACGAGGAAGAAGACACAGGAGACAAGACAGACTGGGTAGAAAGAAGGGGAACCCCAGACAGAGAACCATAAGAGGGACCCCTTGGGACAGAACTTAAAGGAACAGAGGAGGCAGCGGTGGGCGTGTCTGGGTCTAAGGCCTGGAAACTGTTGAGAGACCGAGGAAGGTGGGAAGGCTGAGGAGAGGAAGAGCGCAACACATGAGCATAAGAGACACCAGCGAAAGGGGGGAGACGCCGAACTTGGCGCCTCACCTCAGGAAAAGACAAACGTTCCTGGTGCTTCAAGGCGAGGACTGCTGCCTCAAGTTTGTAATGTACACACGCGCAGGAGAAGGTAGGGTGGACCTTACCACAACTGAGGCAGTAAGCCCAGGAAGAAGTGCACTCCGACTTAGAGTGACCTTCGTCCCCACACAAGGGACAGAGAGAGACAGTACTGGAGCAGCGGAGGGCACCATGCCCAAACCTCCAGCACTTATTACAGAGCCGGAGAGGGAATGTACTCCTGGACGGAGCACCTGGCAACAGCAAGAATGACAGAGGGCGGAAGGGTACTAACATCAAAGGTAATCTTCACAACCCAAAGGAGCTGACGGCGACGACCACGAGGGAGACAAGTAAATATGTGTCTACCTGGAGGACAGAATGGCCCTGGGCTTCGAGGATATGCTGAATATCTTCATGACAGTCCTGTAGATTCCTAACACCGGTTGCAACATGGGGTATGAGGAGAATAGTGCCAACACTGGCATTCAACCGAGCGTTCTTGGAGACCCGAACAGGGGTCTCGCCAAGGCAGGATAAGGCAGCCAAGTGGGTGGCTGCATCCTGAAAAGGAGCAACAATGACACGTGTACCGAGACGGGTGGGGTTGAAAGTAACAGAGGCAACTACTGAATCAACAAGGTGCCTATGGAGGGAGAAATCATCAGGAGGTGTAGAATCCAGAGGGAGGAGATCAAAGTATTTGGCCCACGAAGTGGGACCAAACAAGGCCTGGTATGCATCAGTACGGGAAGGAATCGAGTGAGTACGGCCATGGCGCTGACGGCGTTGAGAACCCCCAGAGAGAGAGAAGAGTTGAAAGGCGCAGTAGTCACAATGACAGACTGAGCCATGCCAGGGGACGAGGTGGTCACCACTGGGGGCTTATGGCTCGACCCAACCACAGAGGAGGAAGGGGAGCCGAGGGGAGTAGACAGGAGGGTCAAAGGTGGAGCAAGGTCGGGGCCCAATGGGAGCGAGGGCTACAGAGCCTGGTCTTTGAACACGGTCCGACTAGGGGGCTTGGTCGCCTACCCCACGAGCCTGAGAAGGTATAAGAGGAACAGAATGAGACATACAACGAGAGGTCAGACTTTCATTTACAAATGTGCCCCCACTCCCACCACGGAGCCACAATTAGGAGGCAGGACACCCAACAAGAGACATGTTGCTGATCTTGCCGGGGCCCCCTAGGGATGTGTCGTGAGTATACATCCCACAAACGCCACCTTAACACTTTCGCGCTATCTGGACGCGCCGGCGCGTTCGGTTTCGTCTAACGTAAACGCATAGTGGACATAAAGTTATGTCTACTTTTAAAATATTTGTATAAAATTCAATTTTTATCCGATTTACTTTGGGTTTGTTTCAAACTGCGCGCTATGAGGCTCTCTTTCTCACCACTAGGCTGCATGGTACAATAAGTTCATGAAAGGTGTGGATAACTTCGATCAAATGGTATTTTGTCCCAAACGGGTTGCAGGTGGGTGACTTTAGCCGTTTATACTGGTAATTCTTCCCCCATATCATGTATTAGATGCATATGTCTGTTTAGGGAATTTTATTCCGATCAATATACAACCAAAAATAACTGTGTGCAACAAGTATAATCTTGACAAACATAACAAAAGTAAAAATATTTCGTGTGTGTTTGACGCTCACTGATATGTTCCAGCGTTGTTTTATATTTGTCGCTATTCTAACTTACGCTTTGTTGATATTTTTTATCTATGGGCACATAGAACATTCTATTGCGAACACATTGACATAAAAATGAATGACGTACATAGAAAATTAATGTCATGAGAGTGAAATAAGTATAAACTTTCAAAGCGCCGTGCGTCGTCCCGTCACCGATACCGGGTAACAATTTCACCACTTCCCACACTCTTGCGGGCGGGCTGCATCATTATTCTACGCTTATATTCATATCACCGTGTAGGGAATTTCATTGCGAGTCCATTGATACCAAAATTAACGCTGTAGAACAAGTGTGGAGGTGATTACAATCCCAAGAGTAAAAACATTTTGTTGCTGATGGGCGCTCACAGCGAGTCATCTACGTAGTTATTTATTTGGTGCTGGTATCCCTATATGTTTCGTGACTTATTTTACTAATGTTCTTCTAGAGAATTTTATTGCGAACACGTTGGTACCAAAATGAAATACGTAGCATGAGAACTAAGGTCAGAAGAGTAAATAGAGTATACACATTTTTGTTTTTACGCTTAAGCGATAAAAACGCAGCGCGCACATTCGGTTGGCTGAGTGACCTTTGCGGAGAGCGCGAAAGTGTTAAGAACCGTCAGTCCATCGACATCAGGTTCAACGACGAAAGGAGGATTGACAATAAAAGGGTCCCCCTCGCTTGAGACGTTGGGTACTACAGTTCTATAGGTGCAAGAGTATGCCTCCTCAAACACATGGGTGACAAACCAAAAGAAGGCCAAAAGAATAATCAAAACAGGCAAAAGGTAAGCGGGAAATGACAATTAGAAAGGAGAAGAGGGGGGAGGAGAAAAAAAGAAATGCAAGAAAAAGGAAAAGTCGTCCAGCAGAATTCGTGAGGACAGCAGCAGGAGCATAAGGCCACAAAAGGACAGAGGACTGTCCCATGGAGCATCACACTCCAGCAGCGGCCCACCAAGCCCCCTCACGGCAACAACAGGCCGGACAGGGAGGGGGGCTCACAGGATAAGGGCCCCACATCAAATTACTTTTTCCCCACACTTTCAACATACATTATCATATTGAGAAAATTATACATGTCTATTTTATCCATCTCTTAACACTGCCCATACAAACATCCTCCTCTACCTCTCAGCTAAGTGTCTTATGCCTCAAGACTAAATTTCTCCATGTCTACACATTTTCTTTTCTTCAATCATTAAGACAAAAACATTCATTTCAAATAAAAAATAAAATCAACTTGTGTAGCAAAAGTGTTAACCAAGAGAGAACATTAATGTCCCTGGTCACTGCTATATTTGATAAATATACATCGAGTAGTAACAGAAGTAGGCATTACCGGTAATTACTTTACCTGTGTTGTGTTTGAGGGATATGGTAAGAGGAACAGGCCGATGTTTGGGGGGCGGTGGTAGAGTCCCCAGCCTGCCCCCCAGGGTGACTTCCTGGGGGGGATTCGGCCGCGGTGCTGCTCATCTGGCCAACACCTTGGTGCTCGTGCTGCTGCTGCTGCCGCTGCTGCTGCACTGTCTCGCTTCACACCGCCAACACACCATCCCGACGCCTCAGACCTGTTCAACACCATTTTTTACTATTACAAAGATCTTATTTTATTTTTAGTCAAGGAAAGACCTTAATTAGAACTTTAAATACCTAGAATATAAAATTTAAACTAAATTAAATATTTAAAAATTTACTATGCATACTGTTCTATGATAAGTGAAGGAGAAGGTAAATATTTCACAATTTTTTTGCATGCCTGTGTTAGATTCCATTTAGTACAACATTCATACTTCTATCAGTTTCTTAACTATGGAAACACTACTACTGTACATATAATCCTGTCCACATAAAAGTTTACCTTTAGCCTAACTAAACATAAGTTTCCATAATCCATAATGTAAGTAGTATTTTGCAAGGTCCACTGCTGTTAGACCCAAGAAATCTGCATAAGTTATGCATATCCCCCAAAACCAGTACTGTATCACAAGTCCCGCATAATTCAGGGTCAAAGGTGTCACAGACCCAGTAGACAGCAATAGAGAGGCAGAAGGAATGAGAGCTATTACATGACACAGAAGATGTGCAGCCCTCAAATTCACTCAAGATGAGAGCAGGTTTTTGAATGGCCCCTGCAGGCAAGCCAAGCACTGACCCAAAGCCAAGCAGTGGGATCACTATGCCAGTAATCAACTATACATATACAGTGGTACCTCGACTTACAACTGCCCTACTTACGAATTTTTCGAGGTACGACAATTTTTTTCAGAAAATGAGACACAATTTACGACCTTTACCTCAACTAGCGACTTTGTCGATATGTGTTTGGGTCGACCAAGCGCGTGGTTCCTGTGGCACGGGCCGACCCGGCCTCAGTTTACCAGAGCCGCCTGTATAGTGACAATCGTGCTTGTAAAGAATTCCATTATTTTGTGCTTTTTTGTTTTTTGAACATAAAAGTAATTATTATATATCATGCCATAGGTCCCAAGAAAGTCAGTGGTAAGGTTCAACCTATGAAAAAACTTGCGAGGATGACCATAGAGAAAAAACAAGAAATCATTCGTAAACATGAAAAATGGTATGAGGGTTGTTGAAGTAAAGTAGAGGATGTTCCTTCCTCATTTATTTATTAAGAAAATGTGTACAGTATGGAAAGAATTGCAAAGTTTTGCTGAAAAATGTCACCCAATTCAAGCTGTAGCAGGCCATTGTGTTAACTTTTTTAATGACAATGTGATGTCTCACTTCAGACTAGTGTTACAACGCAGAAAAAACAAGTGTCGATAGACAGGTTTTTAGTGCGAAAAACAAGCAGAGAGCCATAATCAGGTCCTAGTGGTATGCAGGCAAAATGTAGGAGTGTGTGTACCCCAGGAAGTCATCACTGCCTGGTTGATACCTGGTTGATGGAGTTCTGGGAGTTCTTCTTCTCCCCAAGCCCGGCCCGGGGCCAGACTTGACTTGTGAGAGTTTGGTCCACCAGGCTGTTGCATGGGGCAGCCCGCAAGCCCACATACCCATCACAGCCCGGTTGGTCCGGCACTCCTTGAAGAAAACAACCTAGTTTCCTCTTGAAGATGTCCACAGTTGTTCCAGCAATATTTCCGATGCTCGCTGGTAGGACATTGAACAACTGCGGACCTCTGATGTTCATACAGTGTTCTCTGATTGTGCCCATGGCACCTCTGCTCTTCACTGGTTCTATTCTGCATTTTCTTCCATGTCGTTCACTCCAGTACGTTGTTATTTTACTGTGCAGATTTGGGACCTGTCCCTCCAGTATTTTCCATGAGTATATTATTTGGCATCTCTCTCGTCTCCTTTCTAGTGAGTACATTTGGAGAGCTTTGAGACGATCCCAATAATTTAGGTGTGAAATAAGCTTCATACTGTTGCTGAAATAAAGACTGCAGGTGGGACACCTTCAAAGAAGCCACCTGATCACCATACAAATGGTGATACACACACACGTCAGAAATACCAGGCGCATATTGTGACGCAGTAAGGCGAAGAAGCGAGGTACCTCACCAGCCTGACCTGCTAAAAAAGGCAAAGTCGCAGAAATATGCCCAGGTTTGGACACCGAACAAGGAGCACCTGAAACCTAGGCTGGGCCGGCCACCATGAGGCCAGAAGTATGCTCTGCGATAGAATTCCAGCTCAGCCAGAACCCGGAGCAACAGCTGGACCGGGAAGAAGAGGTACAGGACACCCCCCCCCCCCCCACCTCTACCAGTCCTGCCGAAAAGCATCCACTGCAAGAATCTCGCAGTTGGGGATCTGTGCCACATACAATGGAAGATGCAGATACCAATCCGATGCAAAGAGGTGCACCTCCGGGCATCTGTATGTCCAACAAAGTCAAAGTGGCGTCAACCGTCCACTCCATGGAAAGAGGAATGAAGTGCAACAGGCCATCTGCCAGGACGAAGGGCACTCCCTTCATGAATAGGGAGGACAGTTAAACTCCCAGAACTCAGCAGAAGAGTTCTGGGAGTTTAACCCAGAACCCGAAACGAACAGCTCCAAAGATCCATGGACTGAAGAGAACCCCCTACCTTACCTTACCTTGAGGTGCTTCCGGGGCTTAGTTTCCCCGCGGCCCGGTCGTCGACCAGGCCTCCTCGTTGCTGGACTGATCAACCAGGCTGTTAGACGTGGCTGCTCGCAGCCTGTCGTATGAGTCACAGCCTGGTTGATCAGGTATCCTTTGGAGGTGCTTATCCAGTTCTCTCTTGAACACTGTGAGGGGTCGGCCAGTTATGCCCCTTATGTGTAGTGGAAGCGTGTTGAACAGTCTCGGGCCTCTGATGTTGATAGTTCTCTCTCAGAGTACCTGTTGCACCTCTGCTTTTCAAAGGGGGTATTCTGCACATCCTGCCGTGTCTTCTGGTCTCATGTGATGTTATTTCTGTGTGCAGGTTTGGGACCAGCCCCTTAATTATTTTCCACATGTAAATTATTATGTATCTCTCCCGCCTGCGCTCAAGGGAGTACAGATTTAGGCTCTTTAGTCAGTCCCAGTAATTTAGATGTTTTACTGAGTGGATTCTAGCAGTAAAGGATCTCTGCACGCTCTCCAGGTCAGCAATTTCTTCAGCTTTGAAAGGGGCTGTCATTGTGCAGCAGTACTCCACTCTAGAGAGCACAAGCGTTTTGAAAAGTATCATCATCGGTATAGCATCTCTAGTGTGAAAAGTTCTTGTTATCCAACCTGTCATTTTTCTTGCAGTTGCGACAGCTACTTTACTGTGTTCTTTAAAGGTAAGGTCTTCCGACATGAGTACAGCCAGATCCTTTACATTGCCTTTTCGTTCTATGTTATGATTAGCCCGAGTTTTGTACGTGGTTTCTGTTTTTATATTTTCAATTTTTCCGTAGCGCATGAGCTGGAACTTATCCTCGTTAAACACCATATTATTTTCTGTAGCCCATAGAAAGACCTGATCTACATCTGATTGGAGGTTTGCCGTGTCCTCTATGTTGCCAACTCTCATGAAAATCCTAGTGTCATCTGCAAAGGATGATACAGTGCTATAGGTTGTGTTATTGTCTATGTCCGATATGAGGATGAGAAAAAGTACTGAAGCAAGCACAGTGCCCTGGGGGACTGAGCTCTTCACGGTTGATGGGCTGGATTTTATTTTGTTGACTATTACACATTGGATTCTGTTAGTCAGGAAATTGTAGATACATCTGCCTATTTTCCCGGTAATTCCTTTTGAACGCATTTTATGTGCAATAACACCATGGTCACATTTATCAAAAGCTTTTGCGAAATCTGTGTAAATTACATCAGCGTTTTGTTTGTCTTCCATAGCATCTAAAGCCATATCATAGTGGTCCAGCAACTGCGACAGGCAAGAGCGCCCTGTTCTGAAACCATGTTGTCTGGGGTTATGGAGATGCTGTGATTCCATGTATTTTGTGATCTTACTTCTTAGCACTCTCTCAAAAATTTTTATGATGTGCGATGTTAGTGCTATCGGTCTGTAATTTTTTGCCTCTGCCTTATTTCCTCCTTTACAGAGTGGTGCTATCTCTGCTGTTTTTAGTATGTCAAGGATAACGCCAGTATCTAGGCTTTGTCTCCACAGAATGTGAAGGGCCTGCGATAGTGGTTTTTTACAGTTCTTGATGAATATGGAGTTCCAAGAATCCGGGCCTGGTGCAGAGTGCATAGGCATACTGTTTATGGCTTCTTCAAAATCTAGTGGGGATAGGGCGACGTCTGATATATGATTTGATGTTGGTATCGTATCCATGAAAAATTCATTTGGGTTATCAATCTTTAGTGCATTTAATGGCTCGCTGAAAACAGAGTCGTACTGCTTCCTCACTAACTCGCTCATTTCTTTGTTGTCATCGGTGAAAGTTCCATCTCCCTTTCGCAGGGGCCCGATACTAGATGTGGTTTTTGATCTTGATTTTGCATAGGAGAAAAAATATTTTGGATTTCTCTCTATTTCACTGATGGCCCTTTGCTCTCTTTGCCTCTCCTGGGTTTTGTATGATTCTTGTAGCTTGAGTTCAATTGTTTCTTTTTCTCTACCTAACCTTCTTCGCCGTTCTTGAGATAGGGTGCGACTCTCAAGTTGTTCCACAATTCGTTTTCTTCGCCTATATAGGGAACGACGTTCCCGTTCTAATCTGCATCTCTTTCTCTTTTTTTCTTAGGGGTATGCGGTTTGAACATATTTCTAGTGCTACTGAGCTTATTTTTTCCAGGCACTGGTTCAGGTTTGCATTTTCTAGCTGTTCTTCCCAGTTTATTTCTGTAAAGTCCTGGTTTATTTGCTCCCAGTTTATCTGTTTATTATTGAAGTTGAATTTGCTGAAATCTCCTCCACCGGGAATCTGGACTGGTTTTGAAGGTCCATTCCCCATGGTTGTCAGAACTTCAATTAAGTTGTGATCTGAGTAACAGGTATTTGTAATCATTATGTTCCCGATCAACTCATCATTATTAGTGAAAATGAGGTCCAGCGTGTTCTCCTTCCTAGTTGGTTCCACTATTTGCTGGTTTAAGGCAAACCTATCGCACATCTGTAGCAGGTCATTTGCATGT